TGCTTACATTTACAGCTTCTAAACATTAATACAAAAAACAGAATGCAGGAAGAAAATTCTTGACCATTTTATGACTCTTATAATGATTTAATGATTATTTATGATGTGGTTATAAAGGTTCATTGATATCTTCTACAGAATGTAAAAATCTTTTACTAAAATGCACTAAAATTAATTGTAAAATGGGAACCACTGCACCCAGCATGCACACCTGTTGAAACTGATATGTACTCCAGTTGCACCTTACCAACAGTACTTCAGTATTTAACAGCACAAGAAGGACATTTCCACAGCTGGTACAGAGAGAAACTTTGCAGTGGTTTTCAGGAACTTGCAGTAAATCTCTCCTGAAAGAAAACAAAACTAAAATCAGAAAAGACTCTTAAATATCAAACGAAGGTTAAAACAACGCAGAAGTTTACCAGTCATAAAAATCTGTTTTAATATTGTTTGAGTGTGTCTAATTATTAAAAGCAAACACAATATAAAATAAATAATAATAAAATAAAAATTACTTTTAGTTTTAAAATAACACCAAAATTGTAATACAATTAGCTATATTTCACTATATGAGCAAATATTGCATCAATATAAAGGTAACAAAATTGATTGCATGTTTATTGACCTGATACATGTTTCATCCTACAGAACGTCAAATTCTAGCTAAACCTATTTTAGTACAAAACAGACAAGATGAACAAAATATGTACACTCATAGAAGCAAGTGGCCCTGAACTTTAAGCTGAACAATGCACCTGTGCAATTAAAAGCTATATCTTCTTGATTATTTTTTACTCATACTTTAATCACTTTAAAGTTATAAATCAGTACTTAGAATCTGTCATAATTCCACCAAAAGTAAGAAGAAAATACTTTCACTTACACTTTGTTTCAAGCCGTTTAACATACAGTATAGCACCTGCTCGTAATTCTTGCCTTGTAATGTTGTGCAGGGCTGTTGCAGCACAGATGTTATATTCATAGTCTAGTATTATCCTGCTTTCCAAGTCTTCTCAGTCCACCAATGTACTGTACCTCTCAATATTTTCCTCCACTGCTGTGTGAGCCACTTGATTCCCATTGACTCCAGGCAGACTTGTATTGCTCATCTTTGAAACGTTTCATACTGTACAGCATAAAGTAGAAAACTTTACGATTGTGGAACCTGTCTGCACCGTAGAACCAGGCCTTTGTGCAATACACCCCTTTTGCCTCATCTGCTAACTGCTGTGCTATATTTTCTGTCATTTTCTTTTGTTATTTGGTACAGTATATTCATATTGATTTGCACAGTGTATTGCATATACCAATGATATGGATACATTATATTATAGGATTTTCCCCAGTATACGCGTTTTTCATTATATATAGGTATAAATATATAATATAAAGGAACAAGTAATAGGTTTATTCCATGCTGAAAAAAAGAAGAGAGATGTTGTCTCCTTTCCGATATAAAATGCGATGTTCACCAAGTCAGGTGTAGGCAAGATACACCAACAGCTCCTTCAAGGTTTGGGAATCCTGCAGTGGAAAAGAAATACCTTTTCATTTTGCTAAAAAATATTAGAAACTCACAGAAACGGAGACAGTCTGGTTGTAATTTCCTTGACTACTTCTTGAACTATACGTGAACCACCATATTTATACAGTTCCACAATATCTTCCTCAGAATGTAAAATCAAAATAAAATCAAAGCACCAATAACACCTGAGGTACTTGAGGTGACTCTATAGTATCCTTAACACCTTCAACTAATTTTAAGATGTGGTGCCTAGGTACAGTAAGTGAATCTTTTCAATTGCTATACCACAGTTTCTGAGTAAACTTCCCCTGGATTTTTATGGTCTGTTAACACTCTTTTCTTGGCGCTCAGACAGCCCAAGCATGTGGCAGGAGGCCATGATTTCTCTCTTCATGTTTGTGGTGTCCATGGAAACATGGGTCTCAATTACCAATTAGACTGGGTGTGAGAAGACTACCTTTTTAAGCTAAGAATTGGCCACTCTGGGTTGCAGTTTATCTATTTAGCCGACTGGTAGTCTAACACAAAATAAATGAATCGTTATGACAAGAAAAGGAAAAGTTGAGAAGGAATGTCTTAGGGCAGTCTGTCAGATCTTTTCTGAGCATCCTGCTGCCTTTCCATTTTGACCCAGGCCTGTCCATTTCGCTCCTTTTAAACTCAGCTATTTAAATAATAATTGCATACATAAACACTACATTTTAAGACAATCAATGACAAGGTTTTGAAATACATGATCATTTAGATTCTAGATAAAATGAGTTGGGGGAGCATGGTTGCAAACTGGTTAATATTGCTGCCTCGGGTTAGCAGTGCTGGGGCCCTGGGTTCAATTCATGGGGTACTATCTGTGTGGAGCTTTTATGTTCTTTTTTTCCGGCTGCTGTAGGTTCCTCACACACTCCAAAGTCATGCTGGTACAGTAGGTTAAATGGCTTCTGTGAAAACTGGCCCTGATGTGTGTGCGTGATTGTGTATATTTGTGTCCTGTGATGGACTGGAGTCCCATCCAGGATGTACCCTGCCTTGCACCCAGTTCTACCCAGGATAAGCTATGGGCCGCTGTGACCCTAAACTGGATAAGTGGTTATTGAAAGTGAATGCGGTGGTAAAAAAAAAAGTCTGTCATCTGAAGTTGAGTGGAAACTGAGATACAGTACTCCTCAAATCTACTGCATGGGTCCGCATTCTTCTGTAGAACTGTTCTCATGGAAGAAAGTACTGTATATCCAGGTTCCATTTGGTAATGTAAAACTGAAACAGGGTGGTCTGCAAGCTCTCGTTTTTTTTGTACGCGCTTTTCTGATCTTGTTTTTCCTCCCTTTTCGAAAAATAAATCTGACAAAAATAGGTTCTGGACGGATGAGACGCGCACAAGTCTGTGGGAAACGCTTTGAGATGCGATGTCTTGGGGTGGAAAGGAAAGGAGGCGGGAATGACCGGTCTCGGTGTCATTCGTCGCGCAGTAGGAGACCCGGACTGGACTGCGGTGACAGGTAACGTCAGTGAGCCGCCGTTTCAAAACCGGGCAGAAATGAATGTTGCGCTGACTCAACCCCCGCGGCGACCAGTGAAACCTGAAGCCTTTCCGACAAGCATGCGAAGCATTTGTTTTGATTGTTCTTTGAAACTTCCTCGTTGTGGAGACGCTGCGAGATAGCGATCAATTATTTTTAGTCCTCTTGTCCTGTCTGTTGAAGAGAGGGAGGTGATTCAAAGTTGAGCTGGGGAAGCGGTCAGGTGTTTCTGTTTCATAGAAAGAGCCCATGTGCACTTTCTTTGAACTTCCTAAATGTTGCCTTTTGCTACATTAAAAAAAGCGGTAATTTTCTCTACAACCAAAATGGAGAAGGTGCTTACATTATTACATATATTATGTTATCATAAGGACTTTATCAAGTTCTAATCCCATAAAAGTATTGTTTTTTAAATAATCACATATATGTGGTTATACACGTGTTTTAGGGATGGTATTTTTAAAACAATCACAGTTACAAGTTATTTAAACAAAAATGTAACTGGGTGAGGTATTACGTCGGTAGAAATTTTTCATTTATCTTAAATTAGAGGTTTACAATCTATGTTATTGCAACAGATTACTTTAAAAAGTAAATGTCCCCAACATTAATACACACATAAGTCGTTTGTATTCCTAAAACTGTTCAAGTCTACCATTAATTCTACCATGAAACTATGTGGGTGCAAATAGACTCAAAACCATTTTCAGATTTTAAAAAGGCTGTTAGATCTGTAAAAAATGGCTCATAAAGTATGTCCTCACATTATTTGTTAGGATTCTTTTTGAATAAATGTCTTCAGGTTTTGTCCCCACATTAACAGTGCTCGAACACATACATTTGTGCACAGTAACAGGATGGTCCCTTAACACTCCACAAAAAGCTATTTTCTATCCTAAATCTATGTTGAGTGTTGTGATACTGTCTCGATTGTTTTACAAAACTGTTTTTGTTAGCCTACACTTTAATTCTGCTTTGTAACGTATTATTTATAGATTCTTTCCGTGCTGGCAGGAGAGGTTGTTTACTAAAAAAAAAAACTTTTACAGCATTTCAAAGGAATATCACATAGGGGAGATGACTATCTGGCCAGGAAATGAAGAGCAAATCATTCAAATTCTTCTGAATGATTTTCAGAGTGATTGAGGCCAGGGAATGGAGGTGGCCATAGGCGATACAGGCAAGGATAAAACTTTGTACAACCCTCATTCTTTTCAGTGGAAAAGTATGTTTTACATTGATATTACTAACACTTACTCTATGAATTGTGGATAAACTGAAATGTTGTCCTAACAAATGGGATTTTCAGTTACTGTAAGACCAAATGTGCAAAATATTTTATTTTGAGGTTGCATTTGTTATAACTCATTCCATAGTAACTGTGTTTTTGTCATTATCAACACGCGAACAATATTTAAGGTAGTTTATAAAAATTTGTATTTCATTAATGGTTTCCCAAATGAAGAAACACTAAATACCAGACAAATGGTCATGGGCATCTAAAAAGACTACCATAAAAGCTCTCAGACCAAGAAGATTATAATATTTTCCATGAGACATAAATGTCCGTGGTTGGATTTAGTGAACAATTTTGCATTTCGTTTATTTGTTTAAAAAAAGATGTACAGAATGGGAAATTGGGATGTGTTTAACCCTCTTTCAAAAATATAATAAATGAAGTATCGCAAAATTCTGTGTATAAAAGTTTTGAAATCAAATCCAACAATCTGCCATCGGGGCTCAATAATAAAACTGGCAAGACTGCAAGTTATTTTTATTTAAAGTAAAACCAGATATAGTCTCCTTTCAAGATCATCCTTTTTTTTTTTTTGCGGGGTGTCTCTTTAACTCCAGAGCCTGTCTGATCGGCCACACTTCACAGCTCCTCCCCTTGGGCTGGGAGCAATTAAAGACAGCACAGTCTGTTCAAGACCTGCACTCTGGGCTCCAGCCCTGCACACAGCGACAGAGAGGCAGGCAGAGGCAGTCAGAGAGAGGCAGGCAGAGAAGCAGCACAGTGCACTCCTGGATCTTTGAGGGCTAACTCTCCTTCACTCATACCGGCAGCAGTAGAGTCTAACAATGAAAGGAAGCTCACATAAAGTCTGTCCAGGTGACACTGGCTCAAAAGAAACAGACAACTGCAGAATGGATTTTTCTGAAACAGAGGGGCACTTTAAGGCTTTTAAATAAACTTTTAATACATACCTTTTGAATTTCTCAAAACTTTTTTTTTCCCAAAAAAGACGGAGAAAGAAAAAATGAACTGAATGCATTTGGCTTTGTATTTCTATAAGTGTTTGAAGCAACAGAAAGATGACTGATTTCCAGAAACCAAAAGAGGATTGCTTCTGTTCTTCTGTGTTTGACACTGGGTTGCATGGAAAAGCAAAATCACAAAAGAAACCCAAGAGGGACCGAGCCAGGAAAATTTAGCCTGCTCGGTAATCGAATGGTGATTGCTTGATCACACTGCCTTTTTACTTCTTTTATCTGTAAACTTGACCTAGTGGTGACATTTGAAGAGAAGCTGAAAGGGACTCAACCACCTGTTTTTCCATCTGAAGCACTTGAATTCCCTCTGTAACTAATCATCCTGATCTCCGATCAATCAGTTGATGAGGCATATAAAGAATGTTGCCTTTATCTTTTGTGGATTCTTTTTTGAATCATGCAAAAACCACAGGAGAAACCTAAATACATTTATTGTGGAAGCTGGTATCTGGAAGCATCCTGATTTGCACTATAATCAACAGACAGGTCAAATCAAAGATGGACACATCCTCAAATAATACTATAGAAGCTGCCACTGGGGGTTGGCTCTTGAGTCCCCTGATGGCCATCATCATCCTAATTATTGTGTTTGGGAACCTGCTGGTCATTATAGCCATCACGCGCACCTCCCAGCTGCAGACCACAACCAACATCTTCATCATGTCTCTGGCCTGTGCAGACCTTATCATGGGTGTCCTCGTGGTACCTCTGGGGGCAACCATCATTATATCAGGTGAATGGCTGCTGAGCACCACTTCTTGTGAGCTGTGGACCTCGGTGGACGTCCTGTGTGTGACCGCCAGCATCGAGACACTGTGCGTGATTGCAGTGGACCGCTACATCGCTATCACCAGACCCCTCCGATACAAGGTTTTGCTGAGCAAGCGGCGTGCCCGGCTCATCGTGTGTGTGGTGTGGGCCGTCTCCGCGCTTATCTCCTTCCCACCCATCATGAACCACGACTGGCGGGACATGAACAACACCGAGGCGCAGGAGTGTTACAATAAGTCCACCTGCTGCGACTTCATCACCAACATGCCCTACGCCATCGCGTCCTCCGTGGTCTCCTTCTACATCCCCCTGATCATCATGATCTTCGTCTACGCCCGCGTCTTCATCATCGCCACCGGGCAAGTGCAGCTGATCGACAAGAACCGCCTGCGTTTCCAGAGCGAAGGGGCCCTGGTGCCACCGCAGTCGCAGCAGCTGCAGCAGCAGCCTCACGGCAACAACAACCTGCCGGCCTCTGGTGCCACGGCGACCCGCAGGAAGAACTCCAAGCGCAGGCCCTCGCGGCTAACGGTTGTCAAAGAGCACAAAGCGCTCAAGACCCTGGGCATCATCATGGGCACCTTTACCCTGTGCTGGCTGCCCTTCTTTGTGGCCAACATCATCAAAGTTTTCTACAGGAACACTCCTGATCGCCTGATCTTTCTCCTGCTCAACTGGCTAGGTTACATCAACTCCGGCCTCAACCCCATTATCTACTGCCGCAGTCCCGAGTTCCGTACCGCCTTCAAGAACTTGCTGGGCTGCCCGTGGGTCTCTGCGCCGCGCTTGAACGTCTTCTACAAGGAGTTCCGGACTCACTGTCCCTGTTTGTCGGGGGCACCAGAAGTGAGCCTGGGCGACTCCTTCCAGAAAAGGCCCCCAGAGAAAACCGAGGGGACACGGGGGGGCGAGAGCCTGACCAGTAGCCAGAGCAGCTGCAGGAGTGAGGAGCCCTCCCCAGGACCCCCGTTTTCCAACGGCAGCACTCACTTCAGTGACCTCTCGGAGCCTGAGACAGAGATGTAAGTGTGGCTTCTATCTTGAATTTGCCCTTGCAGTTTGTGTTTGCGTTTGCACCAATCACTGTATGGTTTCTGACCTTTGATGCAACATTGCACTCACAACTGGGGGAGCAGAAATCTCCATGAACGATTCGATAAAAACAAATGCACACTCGAAACACGCTCAGGAATCAGAATTACTGTACGTTGGCACAAGCAAAGATTAAGCTGGCAGTTTTCAAACAAAAAACAACTCTATACAAGCACTGCACTCCAAAATCAGACTACTTCTGGCGTAAATGTCTGTATCTTTAAAACTACTGTGGGAAAGTGGTATCACAACACGAACTGCATCTAGTTAGTACAGTCTTCGAATGTGGTCTGTGTGGTTTGATTGAAATAGAACAGTGGTATAGTTCTATCTCCTGATCTGACGTCTCTAGCTTCCTGCTGATTTGAAACTCAGGAGTAAAATGGTCCTGAGAAAGACCAAATAGTGAAAACAAACAATGTTGATGCAATGCAGCGGGAGTCTTATCATGTCTGCTCAAACAATGAAACACAACCAACCTCTGTTGTCATACTTAAGTTCTGAACATTGTGGTCACAGTTTAGAAGGTGCACCCTGCATTTTCAATGCCCTATAGCTGCTAAGATCTTTGACATTTAGACCAGCTGGCATTTTGTTCTCATGCCTGTACAACCACATTCTTTATCATGTGTCTATATCCTGTGCTTTCTGAATTTTCCGTGCATTCTTTCAGTAGTAGGCATATACTATATTTACAATACCTGTCATGTTCTCCACTTAGCATTGAGGTTAAATCAATATAGCAATTTAATAATCTTATTGGCAGCCTTGAAAAGAGATTGAATCCAAGGACATTGATTTTTATTGTAAGTGGGTTGTTTTTTTCAGATGGGGCTACAGTCAATATATTTTGAATGCTGAAATTATCAGGAATGTAAGGATTAATCTCAACAATTTATATGCTACACACCGCTGCCTCTTACACAGAGCCATCCATATGTGTGTACTGTATGTGAGTGTGTGGACAAGGGCTCTTGGGTATATGTATATATAGCGTATGCACATATATAGAGACGTTTACACATCAATTGCAGAGAAATTCTTGTTCTATTCAGAGCTACTGAATAATATAATTTGACTTTTACATCTATTGCTTGATGTTGTTTTCATTTGTTTGACTTTTAGCCTGAATCATATTAGAATATCCTAACTATCTGTACAAGTCCTCAAAACTTTCCAAAACATTACAGAGCTGTTTTCCTGTTTTACACTTGGAGAAGTCAACTGTTATTGGCGCAGAAAATTCTAAGAACATTAAATGTAAATGATAAAACTGTATTTGTCATAAGCTTTTTACTGCCATTCAGTAACATTGAATATCTATTTTAAAGAAATGACTGTGTCATTTTAACAAGAAGAAACATTATTTACACAGTTATAAATTAAACAATACATTTCAGGAACCAAAACCACCAAAAAAAAAACCCAATAAAAAATCACAGAGAATTTTCCTCTCGCTGTTTAGTATCAGGATGTTTTGATAGCATGATTCCATGTTTGTTCTTTTTTTGATTTTTGTAGCATAAAAGCTTTTCAGAGTACAGTACAGGTTTGCTGTTGTGCAGATGAAGTGTGAAATGGCATAGATAGAACAGGAGACCGCACTGAGCTGAGTACAAGATGTACTGTACTGACTGTAGGACCACTTCCCAGCACAAATGCTGTGATCCTTTCATTTTTGAAAGCTCACTAATGACAACTGGACACATACAACTCAAGAAACAGGTGCTTGGAAATGTAGATCCAGTTGTTTTGAAAATGAGGCTGGTCAGTTCTTGTTCAGTCAATTCAAATCTGTTATTACAATCACTAAACTTTTCATTTTCCTATTTTACCAAATAAAAACATGCTTGTTTTTTTCATCTTTGTCATGGACACATAAGACATCAGAAAACCACTTCATTAACATTGAACATACATTTATATATTTCATACTGTATGCAAATCCTTACAATTACTTAAATGTAGTCAACCACAGAATATGCAAAGACAAGAATAATGGTAACAAGCCTTTTTTTTGGGGTGGGGGGTTAATACATTTTAAAAATATTATCATTAATGATCTTTACATGTATTCCAATTTTGACCATTACTATGTACTGGTATCCCAGTTCTAGGACACTGAATTACACCTTATTGTATCATCTTGTAAATACAGATTTTAGTTTGTATAACCAACTGACCAAATCTGAAAGAAAATAAAAAAATGACTTTAGAAAAGTATCACAAGATATAAAATATAAGAATGGTAACTCATGCATGTTTTAAAGTGAACAGTAAACAACATTACTTCGAATTTAAATGTCTTCTTCAGTGGATTACAAACTGGATTTAAGTTTATAATTTAATTATTTCAGATAACATTTTATATGTACGCAGGTTTAATGAAAATTGTGTAACTGGGTGTATATAAATACTAAATTGTATTTATAATCTTTTGGACGAGTTCAATGGTTCATTTCTCAGCAGTTCCATAGTGAAGAATTTTGTACTTTGAGAAACTAGCCCTCCTTGGAGTTTGAGAAAGTTTCTTAAAAAGTTGTAAAACATAGCCGCCTGACAAATTATTAATATGTGATTTTTAAGTAAAATAAAAAAGAGAAAAAGTCCAAATGGAAAAAGATTCTTACAGGCTGTAGTGTTTGGAAAGTGGAAGGAACACACAGTCCCCCATGGCCCACATTAATGTGGGAAAGATCTGTGTGCATCTGCAGAAAATTCACACATTTCCATATGGTATGTTAAGTGGAAAAAATACAGCTGTGTAAGTATTAGCGCTTAGTATTTGATACAAAGATCTTCTTACAGTATTTCTACAATTGCCCAGGCATCTGTGGATTACTGGCACCATGTATCAAAAAATGTTGAAATCACTAGAACACCATACTATGTGTTGGACTGAACTGGACATGGAATTATACTAAGTATATTATAATAACAATATTTACAACACTTAATAAATAAGGGAAAAAGTACAAGGTTCTAGTACCTTACATATGAAAATAAGTACCTGACAGGGTCGTGTCATTATGTATAAGCAAAACATCATACTGCATCTTATTTTGAGGTTTGTTTTTTTTGTCACTCAAAATAATGTTTTACATCTTATATTTAGAAACTTCACATCTCCAACATAATCAAAGCAATTTTAATAAATGCTAATTGGAGTTTAAATAACACATTACAGCCTTGTATATTAAAAAGAACTGTTTTGATGTGCTACCATACACAATATATTTATTCTGTTCTTCCTTAGAAATTATTTTAAAAACTTTATCCCATCTGCTCGCTGAATTTAATCAGATATAGTTCTACTGACAGATATTCAGACAGCGTATACTTTACACATTAGGACCAATATTTAAAATACTTATGTGCTGTACTTATTTCCCAATAGGACACAATGGGAAATTAAGTGCTTAAGTGTTTTAAATATAGAGCTCCTAGGTTTTAGATAAATTACCCTAATTATTTAACAGCTATATTGTGTTTACTTTATATTAAGTCTTTATATAAATATTTTAACACCATTCTGTTGCAGGGCCTGTACTTAATAACATACCACATTTTCACATATCAGCAACAGATGTTTTTAACAGTCAGTGAGCAAAACATTTTAATACATTCCAACATTTTGATCTATGCCAGCTCTGAGGAGTACATTGTGGTGTGTTATTTCTTTTGGAGTTAAATCTTACATATCTTAATTCTATTAAGAGGGATATAAAGTCATAACAGCTGAAAACTGAATAAATATATATATAGATCAAAAACAGAGTAACAAACCCATAATATAATTTACGGTATGAACTGCAAATTTAATGGAAAGGTTTTGAATTCTGCTGTGTCATTGATGTATTAAAATTAAAACTATTATATCCAGTAGTATTTGTTAAAATACATGTAATTATATATAATTTAAGATCTCTGTCACAATAAGACGTATGATTAAAATTATTTTAACTAAGTGAATTTTAGTTTTAATTGCAATTAATCCATAAACAGGGCAAATCAACGTAAAAAAACATTCATTCACTAAACTGAAGGAGATCTAGTACTGTATGTATTTGCTTTTCTCTGTAGCTTTGCTGGAATCGTCATGCATACTATATTGAATTCATTTGGACTGCTAGTTTTTCGGTGTGCATGTGGGTCTTGTCGTTTTGTCTCTCTCTGTGAGGGCCCCTCTGCAGGCCGCCCATCGCATTCTGCGAACTGATAAAATTTATCATTGTGGGACCAGTCTTCCGTTAGCTGCCATGGTACAAGCTGTTTACCAGCTGTTTACAACCAGAGAGCCACAGGGAGTATAGGCTTGGATCTCTCTCTAAGCGATTCGCAGCAGAACAGGAGTTCTCTCCATCTACTGTATATCATTGCATTAACTTCATACGGTATATGACAGCTCATCTTAATAATACTGTAATGAATACGACCAACATTACAGGTTGTGCGAGTCGGCTTACCAGCGCGGTGAAATCACTGCCCTTCCCTGTGAATAGCAGGGACCTCAGCCGCCGGGCTGAGGGGAGATTTCCCTTTGGCTCAGCTGGCTGGTTCCCTGTTGAGTGATGTCGGAGGTCCGGGTTCGAGTCCCCAGCGGTGGAGGGCCGACCTGAGGCGGCAGTGGAGAGGGCACATACCCACGTGAACCCGAGAGCGCTACAAAACTATGCTTAACGTTTGACAATGAGGGCGAGTCGCAAAGCCATTATAATAAAACCGTAATCTTAACTGTACGAACGTGTTAGTTGGATGAAATTAACACTAAATGTTGGTTGATAATAGCATCAATATGATTGAAAAACACAATTTTCTGGAAATGTCATAAATATCTATGTTATATATTATTATAGATTATGTTACAGATAAATTAACGTATTGAAGGAGTAATAAAATGTCAACGTCTGGCAAATTTCGTGAAATTAGA